TCCAGTTTCAGCACCAGATGCTCTTCATCCTGACTGATGCAGAGTTGCTTCTCTTCCTCTTTCAACTCTTGATGTTTCTGGATCCTCTTGCTCCTGTTTTATCTGCAGAGGTTCTGGTTCCTCTTGCTCCTGTTTTATCTGCAGAGGTTCTGGTTCCTCTTGCTCCTGTTTTATCTGTAGAGGTTCTGGTTCTTCTTTATCTGAAGTGGACTTCCTCTCCTGGATGCTGAATTTATTTAGATCCTCCTCCTCTTGACACACCCAGCACTGTGGCAGATCTGGACAAAAATACAAAACAAAAACTTTTAAATGTAAGTAAAAGAATGAGTCCTTCATTTTCATCACTTCAAGACTTTTCAAGAGATCCAAAAACTAAAATTACAAATTTATAAATTTGTAATTAACTTAAACTTTAGACTTTCTGACTGGAAGGGATCAACAAATCAGTCAAAACATACTATATGTAAATGCCCATGTTCTGGTTGGGGATTGTTACCCATAGTACCCAGTAGGGGCACTGTAGTTCAGATATTTGTTGAGTTGGTGTGAGTCTCCTGTCAGTCAGCACTTGGGCCGAAATGCCCATGGACAGGAGAAGAAAGGAGCATCTTCATTTTGTGCTTGAACAGGTGCTCATATTTTCAGTAGCATAGCACGACAGCCTTTACCGCTGTGGACTTTGCAGCCCTCGGACGGCGGAGCCAGTTGCTCTTTTGGAGCTTTATTTGGTTTATGTAATATATTCATGTTTTATGGGTTTTTTCTTTAGTTTTCACGGTGACTCAAAACTGATTTGAACCAAGTAAAAGTGAACATACTGCATCCGTCGAGGCTCTCCGTGTTTTTCTTTGGTCTGAGGGACTGCTACTATGGATCTCCAGGCGAGAAAACAAGATGGCGATAATTAAACCAAGTGGCTCCACGACAAAAAAAGTTTAAACAGCAGTTTGCTTTAGTCCTGTTCTTATACATAATTCTAAGATGAAAACATTTAAATGCGTAGAGCAGCTTGTTTTCTAATGCACATTAAAAAAGAAAATGAACATTTAAACCCTGTAAGTTTGGATCGCCACCATCGCTGTATTTATTAGAAATTTTAAATTGAAATTAGTATCCAAAAAAGACCAGTGACATCTAACCATTTACTAACAACCTTGACCCTAATGGGGTCAGGAGGTTCTGGGGTCACCCTGCACTCTGTCCTTTCTCACCTGGACAACAAGAACACTTATGCCAGAATGCTGTTCTTAGACTTTAGTTCAGCATTTAACACTGTCATTCCATCAACACTCATTGCCAAACTCACAGACCTCGGCATCAGTTCACTCATGTGCAACTGGTTGCTCGACTTCCTGACCAGTCGACCCCAACACGTCCGGCTGGACAATCACTTCTCATCCACCATCATCATAAACACCGGAGTGCACAAGGCTGTGTGATGAGTCCCTTCCTCTACTCTCTCTTCACCCACGATTGCAGACCTGTCCATGGCTCTAATGCCATCATCAAGTTTGCAGATGACATCACGGTGATCGGCCTCATCACAGACAACGATGAGGCCGCCTACAGGGAGGAGGTGGACCGTCTGGCTGAGTGGTGCGACAAGAACTACCTGCAGCTGAACAACGAGAAGACCCAGGAGCTCATCGTGGACTTCAGGAGGAACGCTGACCTGCACCCACCCATCCACATCAAGGGAATAGCGGTGGAGTGTGTGAACAGCTTTAAGTTCCTGGGAGTCCACATCTCCGAGGACCTGATCTGGACGACCAACTGCTCCAAATTCATCAAGAAGGCGCACCAGCGCCTCTTCTTCATGAGGACCTTGAGGAAGAACTGTCCTCAGATATCCTCACCAACTTTTACCGCTGCACCATTGAGACCATCCTCACCATCTGCATCACAGTTTGGTACGGGAGCTGCTCTGTCTCCGACAGGAAGGCTCTGCAGAGGGTGGTGAAAACTGCCCAGCACATCGCCGGGGCATCGCTCCCTGCCATCAATGACATCTACAGAAAGCGGTGTCTAAAAAGGGCCTGGAAAATCACCAAGGACTTCACTCACCCTGCACACACACTCTTCTCTCTCCTGCCCTCTGGGAGGCGATACAGACGCCTACGGACCAGAACCACCAGGCACCGGAACAGCTTCGTCCCCACAGCTGTCACGCTCCTGAACGCCTCCTGACACAAACTATAAGGACTGTACCCCCCCATCCCCAGACTGGTCCCCTCACATACACGATCTGTATACAGTCTTTATATAATCTGTAAATCTAATTTTCCATTATTTATCCTGTATTATAAGACAACTAATATATATATACACAATCCATTTTTCATATTCCTGTATATTCTGTATAATCCTGGTAATCTGTATTATATGTACATAGCTGTCATATTTATATTTGTATAAAACATTTATAGCACGTCAATATTCTCTGTTTATATCTTTGTACACCTGTTTATAAATATTCATATCCTGTATAGCACTTCTGGATAGATGCAAACTACATTTCGTTGCTTTGTACATGTGACAGTACAATGACAATAAAGTTGAATTCTATTCTATTCAGTCTGTCGCAGGGCGACTCAGAGACAGTGCAATAATATTAGCCTGCATGATCTTTTGCTCTCAGGTTAGGGCTCTGCTTTGCTGCACAAGCATCAGCCTTTTCCTGCAATAAGCTTCTAGCTATTTTTATTACTTATTAGCCATGTTTAGGACCCTGAATGCAGGAAGTCAATGTAAGACCACATTGTAATGATGCCCCACATGCTACTAGCAGCATTTAGGCTAACATTAGCATTTTGGCTCATTTTAGATTATACACTAATTTTAACAAACTGAATGGAGGAAGTCCATGTTAGTCAACATGCTTGTGACTTTCCACAGGCTATTGACTATAATTCAGTTTAGCTTAGCACTGATGCTAATTGTTAGCATCAGAGCGCTGGGTCCAAACTTGGGCCACACTTTAGCAGGCCCCGGTTACATTTCTCCAGGGATTTTCTATTTTTACTTAATTTACTTTAAATACGTTTACAAACACAACGATTATTTATCTGTAAAAACTCTCTTTAACCTGACTAATCAGTAAACCGTGAAGCTGTTTCGTACCTATCCGGTGCAAGATGATCTTGGGTATCCGGGTAAAATCCATCAGTCTGCGCTGATCGTCCATCTCTCCTCCATCACTTCGTTCTTTCCACTCTGTGAATGTTTCTTCAGCAGGAGTTTCCTGCTGCTTGATAAACTCTCTGAGGCTGAACTGAAGACATTTTCACTGAAAACACCAAACCTGTTTTCAAACCGTCCTCTAACAAAGGAACAGCTAATGCTCCCTCGTGCGCTCTGAGATGGTTCCTGTGTTTCACGTTGACTGCACGGAAGAAACTGTAAAGGATTTTTAGTTCCGCTTCGAGTTTCCTCTGAACATACAACTAAATTAAATATTTTACAGCATTAATAAAAGGTTCATATATATTTCAGTGAAACACAGTATTAACTTAATTACACAAACACATGGAGGTTTCCAAGCCTTTCATTTCTGTTTATGAGCATTTTCTGCAGATAACTGAAGAAGAGCATTTATTTTTATAACATTACATCATTCTGACTAATGGAAAAACCTTTAGAAATGTGAGCTTGGAGTCAGTTATCAAAAGATATTTATAATTACAAAAGATCCATATTGGAACATCGAATGAAAATTTACGAGTATGATCTTTTTAGTTTATAAAACAATCTAATGTATCAGATTGTAGGTTATGATTAAGTTTTAAAATTTAACACTGAATGACTTTAGAGGAATATGGTGATTTTTTTTACTTGAAAATATTAATAACTGAGTCTTGTTAAAAAAAGATTCATGTTTCCATGGAAAGAAGTGAAAATATACAAAGTCACTCTAGAGACGAGATGGAAGAAGACACATAACTTTAATTAAAACCACAAAGTCATTATTTTGCTTGTATCATCATACATGTACCTGAACAAAGAGATGTTATTAATCATTCATTTAAAAACATACAAAGAAAATATGTTAGAAATTTAAAACAACAGAGGAAAACATTGTGATGCCTCCCAAAGGAGCAAAAAGTGTTTCACTGAATCTGATCCCTGCTAAGAATCAAGTCACTTTGCAGCTGTATAAAAATACCAACGTACTGTAATAATCCTGGTTTCCTGTTGCAGAACCTAAACATCTTTTACAACTAATCTGGTTCTGGTCTGCCTGGGTGCTTCACTTTATGCACCTGTACCATGAAAGGGATTGGATCACCTGAGTCTGATCATTACAATAGGTGAGAAATATTTTGATAATGTAGAGCATGTACATACAAACACATTTTAACAATGACTTCTGTGAAACAAATATTTGGTAAAAAGGAAAATCTCTCTGCTGTTAGCTCTAAATCAAATCTCAACAGATCTCAATAATATTTGAGTTTTTTTCCTTTCAAACAAACATCACAGAGTTGACCTGGATGCTGCATGTGACCTGCAGCATCCAGGTCACATGCTTCAGACATGTGACCTGGATGCTGCAAGAAATTCAGATGGGGGTCAGGAAAAGACTGAACGGCTGGATAGATTATAATTGTTAGCATGAAGGTCCCACTGAATAAACACATTATCTGTCCAGGACTCAGCACTAAGTTAGATGCTAACAACATTAGCACTCTGGGGATTACCAAGCTAGGATGTAAAAACAATACGCGTTGCCTTACATATGAACAGGGCCGTACAGAGACAGTTGAAGGGGTAGGGGCTTAACGTTAAAAAGGGGAACATTGAACAACATCTTAAAACAGCAACATAACAACAACCCATAATACCTACATTTCTAAGTTTCAATGAGTTAACACAGCCAGGAATGACATGTAAAAGAATGGTCTTTTTGCCCTCCAGCGTTGCATGAATGCACAAAATTTCTCTTTGTAAACAATAACATGCATGGTGTCTAAATTTATACGTCGAGGCATTGCCTCACCAGCTATGAACCTCACCGCATGTCACTGTTTAGCACTCATATGAATCTTTATGTGTTTAAGTAATTGTTTTTTCATTCTGAAACTTTTTCCACAGGTCCCACATGAGAAAGGCTTCTCACCTGTGTGAATTCTCATGTGAACATTGAAACTGCATTTAGTGGTGAAACGTTTTCCACAGGTCCCACATGAAAATGTTTTTTCACCTGTGTGAATTCTCATGTGAACATTTAAACTTCCTTTATTGGTGAAACTTTTTCCACAGGTCCCACATGAGAAAGGCTTCTCACCTGTGTGAATTCTCATGTGAACATTTAAAGTGTCTTTATGGCCGAAACTTTTTCCACAAGTCCCACAAAGTAAAGGCTTCTCACCTGAGTGAATTCTCATATGACAATTTAATTTATATTTTCCAGATAAACTTTTTCCACAGGTTCCACATGAGAAAGGCTTCTCACCTGTGTGAATTCTCATATGAACTTTTAAACTTCCTTTATTGGTGAAACTTTTTTCACAGGTCCCACATGAGAAAAGTTTCTCACTTGTGTGAATGCTCATATGAACATTTAAAGAGTGTTTATGGGTGAAACTTTTTCCACAACTCCCACATGAGAAAGGCTTCTCACCTGTGTGAATTCTCATATGAACACTTAAATGGCCTTTATTGGCGAAACTTTTTCCACAGCTTTCACATGAGAAAGGCTTCTCACCTGTGTGAATTTTTATGTGCTGAGTTAAAGTCCCCCTTTCACGGTAACTCTTTCCACAAGTTCCACAGGAGAAAGGCTTCTCACCTGTGTGAATTGTCGTGTGAACATTTAAATGACTTCTTTTAGAGAAACTTTTTCCACAGGTTCCACATGAGAAAGGCTTCTCACCTGTGTGAATTCTCATGTGCTGAGTTAAAGTCCCTCTTTCACGGTAATTCCTTCCACAAGTTCCACAGGAGAAAGGCTTCTCACCTGTGTGAATTCTCATGTGCTTTGTTAAAGTCTCTCTTTCACTGGAACTCGTTCCAAAGGAAAAAGGCTCCTCAACTGTGTGATTTCTCATGTGAACATTTAATTGATTTTTTTGACGGAAACTTTTTCCACAAAACCCACAAGAGAAAGGCTTCTCACCTGTGTGAATTCTCATGTGAACATTTAAATGACCTTTGTGAGAGAAACCTTTTCCACAGGTTCCACATGAGAAAGGCTTCTCGCCTGTGTGAATTCTCATGTGATTATATATAGTCCCTTTGTCACTGTAACTCTTTCCACAAGTCCCACAGGTGAAAGGCTTCTCACCTGTGTGAGTTCTCATATGAACATTTAAATTACCTTTCATGAAAAAACTTTTTCCACAAGTCCCACAGGTGAAAGGCTTCTCACCTGTGTGAGTTCTCATATGAACATTTAAATTACCTTTCATGAAAAAACTTTTTCCACAAGTCCCACAGGTGAAAGGCTTCTCACTTGTGTGAATTCTCATATGAACACTTAAATGGCCTTTATTGGCGAAACTTTTTCCACAGGTTCCACAAGAGAAAGGCTTCTCACCTGTGTGAATTCTCATGTGATACATTAAACCATCCTTTTGTCTGTAACTTTTCCCACAGATTGAACAAGTGAAAGGTTTTACTCCTGTGTGAATTTTCCTGTGTTTTGTCAAGGTACTTTTAGAAGAAAAGGTTTTATCACAAATTTCACAAGAACATAATTTTTGCCCTTGCTGAGCTTTCTTTGGCTTTTTTTGTTTTTTATTGTCAGTTCTGTCTTTCTGCTGTTTGGTTTTCTCATATCTCTCCTTTGGTTTCTGTTCTTTCTTTCTCTTTTTTCCTGGATTTTCAGAATTGCTTCCTTCCTGATCCTGGTTCTCAGTTTCTGCAGAGCCATGAGGGATGAGTTGCTTCCTCTGTGCTTCTGTTTCATTGAGAACCTCCTCCTCTTCACTGCATTGTGAGAGATCTGGACAAAAATAAAAAACAAACAATATCAATCAAACAAGAAATTCTTCACTTTAACCTCACTGTATCAAAACAGGATTTTCTTGGGTTAATCTATTATTACAGTCTTACAAAAATGAACAATATTTCAACGAATGAGGTTCTTCTGACCAGAATAGAACTAGATGCGAGTCAAAATATGATTTTTTATGGATCTCCAGGTGAGCAAACAAGATGGCGATAACTTAATCCAGAGGCTTCCTGACTAATGTTAGAAAAGGTTTTCTTCCTCCAAGTAGCTACAGAATATATATCACGTTAAAGAATGACAAAATGCCTGACGTGAAACACTTAATGGTATTTTAATCTCACCCACTGATATAGTCAGACATTGCTCCACTCACACACTCAACACAAACTTTCAAAAGAACAAATAAATCTCAGCCTTTACTTTCCTGTGATTCACAGCAGAACTGATAACAGTGGGTGATTGTTCTTAATTGCACACATGCAGAAAATAATGGCAAAATGGTCCTATTGAAAATATTTGACATGAATATTGGACAATTTGGAAGATCAAATATGAAAGGTGAAAATGATATAATTACATAAAGAGTTTATTTAATACACAATTATTAAATATGTCATTACATTATTAAAATAGAAACTTATTAGCCAGTCAAGACAATTATTAAATATGCTTTTGATTGCTCTGTTCATTATTATCATCGCCTGGTTCCAGTTCCTGCAGTGTCACCATAAAATAATTCCCCAATCAAAGTGGAGGGCGGGGCTGTGGGCGGGGCTAACACTGACCTTTAACATAAATTTGAGCCGTTATTCTGTCAGAATATCTGACATGCATTGAGTACAAATGCGCATTAAGAGGTGCTGTCAGTTCAGCATCTGTGACAAGATACAAGAGAAAGTCAATAAATAGATTTATTGATGATGGATTGATATAAATGCATTGTCATGGTTTCACAGTGTAATTGACTGCAGTCCACTATGAAACCTGCCTCCTGTTCCTTGATGATGGTCTGACTGGTTAACCGCCAAGTCAGGATGTCATACAGCTGTTGACTAATTTTATGACTATCTCTCTTCTATGTCATGATGTTATGTTGCTGATTTAATACAAGCAGGTTTTCACCAGAGAAATCCTTTTCACCTGTGAGAATCTTCATGTGATAAATCAAATTATTCTTTTCACTGAAACTTTTTCCACATGTTGAAAATGTGAAAGACTTCTTGTGTGATCAAGCAACCATTTAGAGAGAAGGTTTTATCATAAACTTTACAAGAATATAACTTTTGGACTCTGTGAATTTTCAAGAGCCTTTTTGGTTTGAACAATCAGTTTTACCTTTCTGGCATCTTTTGTTGTGTTTTTGTTTTTCGTCTTTCTGTTCTCCTGGATCTTCAGAATTGCTTCCTTCCTGATCCTGGTTCTCATCCTCAGCAGAGCCATGAGAGATGAGTTGGTTCCTCTGTGGTTCTGTTTCATTGTAGATTCTTTGCACATTAAGAGGATTCATCAAAATGTCATCAGTCTCCAGTTTCAGCACCAGATGCTCTTCATCCTGACTGATGCAGAGTTGCTTCTCTTCCTCTTTCAACTCTTGATGTTCTGGTTCCTCTTGTTCCTGTTTCATCTGCAGAGGTTCTGGTTCCTCTTGCTCCTGTTTTATCTGCAGAGGTTCTGGTTTCCTCTTGCTCCTGTTTTATCTGCAGAGGTTCTGGATCCTCTTGCTCCTGTTTTATCTGCAGAGGTTCTGGTTCCTCTTGCTCCTGTTTTATCTGCAGAGGTTCTGGTTCCTCTTGCTCCTGTTTTATCTGTAGAGGTTCTGGTTCCTCTTTATCTGAAGTGGACTTCCTCTCCTGGATGCTGAATTTATTTAGATCCTCCTCCTCTTTACATACCCAGCACTGTGGCAGATCTGGACAAAAATACAAAACAAAAACTTTTAAATGTAAGTAAAAGAATGAGTCCTTCATTTTCATCACTTCAAGACTTTTCAAGAGATCCAAAGTCTAAAATTACAAATTTATAAATTTGTAATTAACTTAAACTTTAGACTTTCTGACTGGAAGGGATCAACAAATCAGTCAAAACATACTATATGTAAATGCCCATGTTCTGGTTGGGGATTGTTACCCATAGTACCCAGTAGGGGCACTGTAGTTCAGATATTTGTTGAGTTGGTGTGAGTCTCCTGTCAGTCAGCACTTTGGGCCGAAATGCCCATGGACAGGAGGAAGAAAGGAGCATCTTCATTTTGTGCTTGAACAGGTGCTCATATTTTCAGTAGCATAGCACGACAGCCTTTACCGCTGTGGACTTTGCAGCCCTCGGACGGCGGAGCGAGTTGCTCTTTTGGAGCTTTATTTGGTTTATGTAATATATTCATGTTTTATGTGTTTTTTCTTTAGTTTTCACGGTGACTCAAAACTGGTTTGAACCAAGTAAAAGTGAACATACTGCATCCGTCGAGGCTCTCCGTGTTTTTCTTTGGTCTGAGGGACTGCTACACTATGGATCTCCAGGCGAGAAAACAAGATGGCGATAATTAAACCAAGTGGCTCCACGACAAAAAAAGTTTAAACAGCAGTTTGCTTTAGTCCTGTTCTTATACATAATTCTAAGATGAAAACATTTAATGCGTAGAGCAGCTTGTTTTCTAATGCACATTAAAAAAGAAAATGAACATTTAAACCCTATAAGTTGGGATCGCCACCATCGCTGTATATATTAGGAATTCTAAATTGACATTAGTATCCAAAAAGACCAGGGACATCCATCCATCTAACCCATTTACTAACAACATTGACCCTAATGGGGTCAGGAGGTGCTGGGGTCACCCTGCACTCTGTCCTTTCTCACCTGGACAACAAGAACACTTATGCCAGAATGCTGTTCTTAGACTTTAGTTCAGCATTTAACACTGTCATTCCATCAACACTCATTGCCAAACTCACAGACCTCGGCATCAGTTCACTCATGTGCAACTGGTTGCTTGACTTCCTGACCAGTCGACCCCAACACGTCTGGCTGGACAATCACTTCTCATCCACCATCATCATAAACACCGGAGTGCCACAAGGCTGTGTGATGAGTCCCTTCCTCTACTCTCTCTTCACCCACGATTTGCAGACCTGTCCATGGCTCTAATGCCATCATCAAGTTTGCAGATGACATCACGGTGATTGGCATCATCACAGACAACGATGAGGCCGCCTACAGGGAGGAGGTGGACCGTCTGGCTGAGTGGTGCGACAAGAACTACCTGCAGCTGAACACCGAGAAGACCAGGAGCTCATCGTGGACTTCAGGAGGAACGCTGACCTGCACCCACCCATCCACATCAAGGGAATAGCGGTGGAGTGTGTGAACAGCTTTAAGTTCCTGGGAGTCCACATCTCCGAGGACCTGATCTGGACGACCAACTGCTCCAAATTCATCAAGAAGGCGCACCAGCGCCTCTTCTTCATGAGGACCTTGAGGAAGAACTGTCCTCAGATATCCTCACCAACTTTTACCGCTGCACCATTGAGAACATCCTCACCATCTGCATCACAGTTTGGTACGGGAGCTGCTCTGTCTCCGACCGGAAGGCTCTGCAGAGGGTGGTGAAAACTGCCCAGCACATCGCCGGTGCATCGCTCCCTGCCATCACTGACATCTACAGGAAGCGGTGTCTGAAAAGGGCCTGGAAAATCACCAAGGACTTCACTCACCCTGCACACACACTCTTCTCTCTCCTGCCCTCTGGGAGGCGATACAGACGCCTACGGACCAGAACCACCAGGCACCGGAACAGCTTCGTCCCCACAGCTGTCACGCTCCTGAACGCCTCCTGACACAAACTATAAGGACTGTACCCCCCCATCCCCAGACTGGTCCCCTCACATACACGATCTGTATACAGTCTTTATATAATCTGTAAATCTAATTTTCCATTATTTATCCTGTATTATAAGACAACTAATATATATATATACAATCCATTTTTCATATTCCTGTATATTCTGTATTATATGTACAAAGCTGTCATATTTATATTTGTATAAAACATTTATAGCACGCCAATATTCTCTGTTTATATCTTTGTACACCTGTTTATAAATATTCATATCCTGTATAGCACTTCTGGATAGATGCAAACTACATTTCGTTGCTTTGTACATGTGACAGTACAATGACAATAAAGTTGAATTCTATTCTATTCAGTCTGTCGCAGGGCGACTCAGAGACAGTGCAATAATATTAGCCTGCATGATCTTTTCCTCTCAGGTTAGGGCTCTGCTTTGCTGCACAAGCATCAGACTTTTCCCTGCAATAAGCTTCTAGCTATTTTTATTACTTATTAGCCATGTTTAGGACCCTGAATGCAGGAAGTCAATGTAAGACCACATTGTAATGATGCCCCCACATGCTACTAGCAGCATTTAGGCTAACATTAGCATTTTGGCTCATTTTAGATTATACACTAATTTTAACAAACTGAATGGAGGAAGTCCATGTTAGTCAACATGCTTGTGACTTTCCACAGGTTATTGACTATAATTCAGTTTAGCTTAGTATTGATGCTAATTGTTAGCATCAGAGCGCTGGGTCCAAACTGGGGCCACACTTTAGCAGGCCCCGGTTACATTTCTCCAGGGATTTTCTATTTTTACTTAATTTGAGCGGATTCTTTAAATAGGTATCCGAACACAACGATTATTTATCTGTAAAAACTCTCTTTAACCTGATTAATCAGTAAACCGTGAAGCTGTTTCGTACCTATCCGGTGCAAGATGATCTTGGGTATCCGGGTAAAATCCATCAGTCTGCGCTGATCGTCCATCTCTTCCTCCATCTTAACGTTGATTTCTTTCCACTCTGTGAATGTTTCTTCAGCAGGAGTTTCCTGCTGCTTGATAAACTCTCTGAGGCTGAACTGAAGACATTTTCACTGAAAACACCAAACCTGTTTTCAAACCGTCGACTAACAAAGGAACAGCTAATGCTCCCTCGTCCGCTCTGAGATGGTTCCTGTGTTTCACGTTGACTGCACGGAAGAAACTGTAAAGGATTTTTAGTTCCGCTTTGAGTTTCCTCTGAACATACAACTAAATTAAATATTTTACAGCATTAATAAAAGGTTCATATATTTCAGTGAAACACAGTATTAAATTAATTACACAAACACATGGAGGTTTCCAAGCCTTTCATTTCTGTTTATGAGCATTTTCTGCAGATAATTGAAGAAGAGCATTTATTTTTAGAACATTACATCATTCTGACTAATGGAAAAAACTTTAGAAATGTGAGTCCGTTATCAAAAGAAATTTATTCTTACAAAAGATCCATATTGGAACATCGAATGAAATATTATGAGTATGATCTTTTTAGTTTGTAAAACAATCTAATGTTATATCAGATTGTAGGTTATGATTCAGTTTTAAAGTTTTACACTAAATGACTACATATATATTAGAGCAGTGGTTCTCAAATGGGGGTACGCGTACCCCTTGGGGTACGTGGAGGTACTGCAGGGGTTACGTGAATCTTTTCAAAATATCTTTAAAAAAATCAGTCGGCTCCACATAATAAGTCTTGAGAAAAATTATTTTGTAAGAAGTTTGATAAAATATAAAGGTGTGTTCATGCACTGAATGTTATATTCAGCATTTAGTTTCAATATCCTTTAAAATAAATGGACCTGGTGCACTGTTACCATGACTACACTGTAACTATGGAGACTGGCTAAAGCGTAGCAGCAATGCTGCTGAAAGTTCAGATAAAGTGAAAAAGAAGACAAAACCAGAGCCGAAGAAGTACAGAACGTACATGAAAAGTATGTTTTAATGGGATTTACGTCCACGAAATTAGCCAACGCTAGCATGCAGCCGGCTAGCATGCAGCCGGCTAGCATGCAACCGGCTAGCATGCAGCCGGCTAGCATGCAGCCGGTTAGCATGCAGCCGGCTAGCATGCAGCCGGCTAGCATGCAGCCGGCTAGCATGCAGCCGGCGGCACACCTCCAGCGGCATCTCACCACAAAACATGGACGCCATGTTGGTAAGACACCGGAGTTCTTCAGGAGAAAACTTTCTGAGTTCAAGTCATTCAAAGCCACGATGCGAAAAGCCTCCACTGCATCAGCCAAAGCAACGACTAAAGACACGCGGTGTCTTTGCTCGTTGCTAAAGCCAATAAATCGTTCACCATAGCGGAAGACCTGCTGCTCCCCGCTGCTGTTGAAACTATGCTGGACAAAAAAATCAGCGGATACATCAAAAACTGTCTATTGACACCGTTACTTACTGTTCAAACCGAATCAAATGTTCAATGCAAAGTGATTAAAGTGCAATCTTCTTTTTTATATCCTAAAAGAGGTAATGTTTATTGTTTTTTTTGTCAGCAAATCTTTATTTATAAAGTTAATTTATTTTGTAAACAAAATATAATTTATTTATAATTAAGTTATAGATTTATTTCTGTGAACACTTTTTAGTTATTTATGTATATATTTAATTTTGTACCATTACAGAGACCAATATAATTAGCAGTGTTTTGCATATTTCAGTTTTGACTGGTTTTACGCCTTCCTGGTGCTCACTATGTTTCTGTTTCTCGATGCAATGTTTGCAATATGGATGTATTTGTCAGGTTCACTGATATAAGGTGTTTGGCTTTAATTAATCAGACAG